CATCAACATTTGCGAGCAACGACGTCGTTTAGCGCAAAATTGCTTTTGGGTACCCCGGGAATGGTTTCTTCTTCTCTCTTCTAGTTCTAGCCTTTTTCTGCTGAAACCCTGCACCGCTACCCACAGTGACTGGAATCTGTGTGTTTTTTGGAGAGAGAAAGAGATATCTTGAATCTCTCTCGATAGATATATATCTTGCTGGTATAGAGCTAATATATAAAAATGAGTGTATGGAACTATGTGGTGACTGCTCACAAGCCAACTAACGTAACGCATTCGTGCGTCGGTAATTTCACCGGTCCTCAAGAGCTCAATCTCATCACTGCGTAAGACTTCTCTCCGTTAATCCATTTTTCCTTAGTCTTATTCGGAGAAGTGCCCGAAATGGATTTATAAAGCCGAGCCTAATTTGAATTAAGGTTTATTTTGTTGAGGTTCATGTTTTTAGTCACTTAGTTTGGGAATCTTTACTGTATTTTGAGTAATTTTGAAGTTCCTTCTTTCCTGGGAATATGAAATCTTATTCATTTTATAATTCCTGTAGAGTTTGAGTAAAGGTGAGCACGTGTGCATTGTAATTGTGCTGCTAGATAATAATGTCCAAGTACCTGATTTGTTGATCTGTGGTGCCTATATTTGAATTGCATTATACTAATCAATGATTAAAATCTTTATGTAGGAAATGCACCAGAATAGAAATCCATTTACTCATGCCTCAAGGATTACAGGTATAATAGCTTTTATGTCAAGTTTTACTAGACAACATAGCCATGGAACCCTTAATTCTTTTGCTTTGAGTATGCTCCATTTAAGGATGAAACTGTGTTTGTCTTATGGACTACCTGAGCCTTGTTTGGTATGATGAAATGATCTGGAATGGGGAAGGCGTTCCACCTACAACGAGATTCCTCTTACAATGGGTGTTAATCGAGTGGTGGGGAGCCATAGTTGGGGATGGGGATGGGGATGGTAGGTGGTGAGAATTCAAGGTAGAGGAATTGGAAAGGAAGAGTTGGAGCTTGGTTTGAGCATTTTATTTTCTCATTATTCTTTTCTAAATAAATGACTTTCTTAGATTCTCTTGGAATTAGCAGTCAACTTGGAATGAGTTTTTTTGTTTTATTTTATGTACTGCACTACAGTGTGATGTTCTGGCATATTTCAGATACAAGATAGCCTGAGTTCAATTTCATTTGGAACTTTTAATACTTATGATCTTTTTTTTTTGTAAATGGTAACTTCAATGTAATTTTTGACTTTGCAGCCTATGTTGGATTTGCCAATATATGGGAGAATTGCCACACTTGAGCTTTTCCGCCCACACGTCAGTGTTTAACCCAACCAATATTTATTTTTCTCAATTACATGACTTGAAACTTTCATGGTCAAATATGGGTCATGTTACCGTTAATTAAAAAAAAAAGGTATTGTTATGTCTTACTCTACAATGAAAATGGACAGGGGGAAACACAAGATCTTCTTTTCATTGCTACTGAGAGATATAAATTCTGTGTTCTGCAATGGGATGCTGAGGCTGCTGAGGTTATTACAAGGTCTGAAAGTTATTTTGGTTGATTATTTGATGGTCATCTTTCTAAGTTCTTGCTTTTGTATGTCGATTTGTTGATACAGCACTGTTTTCCTTACATCTTTACAAAATGGTAGAGACTTCCTTGTGCAGATTGAACTGAAAGTACAAATAGTTTTTATGACCACAATGAGTCCCTTTCCTTGTTCCCTGTCAGAGGACTAATTTGTTAGTGTCACAATTTATTTTGGGGCAAGACTTATTTGAGGTTATGCATAAGGTTTTCCTTTCCAGGTTTTTCTGTTATTGCTGTCTTGATGTCATGATCATTTTTTCATCATCGGCTTTTACTAAAAAGAATCATTTTTCTTTGTGCCTTGGTTGCTTATACTATTAAAATAGAGCTATGGGGGATGTTTCGGACAGAATCGGCCGTCCTACAGACAATGGACAGGTATTTCTATAGTTCTATGGGAAATTTCAGGTTGAGACATTTGAAAATGTGCTTTTTAAATTAATTGTTTAAAGAGATTCGAAGTTTGTGAACTTAAGGTCATTTAATGGTATTTTCTTTGCTGGTAGATTGGCATAATTGATCCAGATTGTAGATTGATTGGACTTCATTTATATGATGGATTATTTAAGGTATTGATCTATATGCAGCTCCAATTGTTGGAGTTTCTCTTTTTTGTTTTTTCCTGAATTGGCACTTTCATCCTGTTTATGTACTTCCAGTGTACCACAAGGGTTTTTGTTTGTTTGTAGGTTGTTCCTTTTGACAACAAAGGCCAGCTCAAGGAAGCATTCAACATTAGGTATATTTCTTCTATCACAATTTCTGGTTGTGTACTTTGAAGGAAGTAACTGTGACAATCTTTTGAACTTTTCGAATGTGGTTCTTGGCCTTTTTATCCAGGTGGATCAGTGAGTATTCAAGTGCATTCAAAAATGATAAGCTGTGCCTTTTGGACCTAATTTCTTAAGACTTCCTATTATTTTTAATGTCCTTATAGGATGGCAACCCTAATACAGTTAATTGGTTTCTTCACCCTGTTCGAAGGAATGGAGAAAGTGAACAAAATGGTCAATGGTGACCAGAAGAAGTGAACATATGAATATGAGCACTAGAGGGGATGTGGAAGAAGAAAATGCTTCTATTCTGGAAATTTGTGTTGAAAATAATAGATTATGCTAAGACTTGGAAAGGGAAGGATTTAGATGTTATCTCATGGAATCAAACAAAGACTTAGGTGGTCAAATGAGTAATTTATTCCTGTAGTGTTGGGAATGGAAGGCTCTAAGACTGTATTGCACATATATGCGTTGAGAAAATTTCATTCGAAAGTGCAAGTTGACAAGAAGACTTCTATTATTTATTCTCGGGCAGCACTGCTGCTGTGACACCAAAATGCTTCCTCATCTTATTTTGGTTCTTGCTAGCCATCAGCTTAATATTGTTTCTGGAGATGTGGAGAATGCATGAAAGATAAATTGTCATGATTAATATTGTACTAATTTAGACTAGCATCGATGCATTAAGACTAACTTATTTAACACTTCTCTAGCACAGTTTCTAGTAGCCGGAGCTTCCTTGTCCCGGATAATGTGCATTATGATAGTTGATAGTTCTATTTTCCCTGTCCTGTAGCTGAATAACAAAATAGAGTCCTGTCTTTAAAATTGTCTGGAAAGAGAGAAGTGTGTTTATTATTACCCATAAATTAAATCCCTTGGGGGCAATTGTTTCAAATGTTTTAGTCATAGGGAAATTGTCTGGCTCTAAATATTTTCTCTTACACATATTGCATCTGCAGGCTTGAGGAGCTCCAAGTTTTGGATATCAAGTTTCTATATGGCTGCCCAAAGCCGACAATTGTTGTACTTTACCAGGTTAATTCAGTATTGCCAAGCAATTTTATTACCAAAGCCACCCAGTGTAATATTTAGAGGAAATATCCTTTTCGTGTTGCTACCATTGTTCTAACGTGTATGTCACTGATTCATATCCAGGAGTCCAGCTCATGAATGCATTTACCTACCCTCGTCTTCTAATTTTCAAAATTTCATTTTTGAGCTACATTACTTGGACTCAACATGGGTATTGACACAGATATACGTAGGAGTATCAGATTCTCATCCCAGTATATTGCGTCTGGCATGAGTACTCGAGCCCTAGTAAAAGAGTCAATAACTTTGTGGAGTCCGCCTATGCAATGCTTATGTTTTTTGTTGAGTTTTTTCATTTTATATTTTAGTTGCATCGTCTAACTTGTCTTATATCATCTGGGTGGTTATCAGGATAACAAGGATGCTCGTCATGTAAAAACATATGAGGTCTCGTTGAAGGATAAAGATTTTGTTGAGGGTCCATGGTCTCAGAACAACCTTGATAATGGAGCAGATTTATTAATTCCAGTACCTCCTCCACTTTGTGGTGTCCTAATTATTGGAGAAGAAACTATTGTGTATTGTAGTGCCTCGGCTTTTAAAGCAATTCCAATTAGACCTGTAGGTCTCACATGTCTGCTGCAAGCTCTATTGTAAGCAATTATTTGGTGAACAATGATTTCTAACTCGCTTCATGTTCCCTTTCTCTTTGAAGTCTATAACAAGAGCTTATGGGAGGGTCGATGCTGATGGTTCTCGCTACTTATTAGGGGATCATAATGGATTTCTTCATCTACTTGTTATAACACACGAGAAGGAGAAGTGAGTTTGCATTTTCCTGTTCTTTCGTTTTTTATTTAGTGTATTTAATATTTATTTCTTTGTAGGGTACCGTGCTTAATGAGTTCTATAACCCTGATTTGCCTAAAAGTTTTTTGGTTTGTAATCTTGTAGAGTAACTGGACTCAAAATTGAGCTCTTGGGAGAAACATCTATTGCATCTACAATTTCTTATCTCGATAATGCTGTTGTGTTTGTCGGCTCAAGTTCTGGAGATTCACAGGTTTGTACGAGATATCTCCTTTAAATCTTTCCCAATCTAGTTAACTCCCAAGGAGCTAGATGTATCTTCTCCAATTTGATCTAATGCTGACAAAAGAGGAAAGGGGTGCTTTAAGGACTAATATAATGTCTTTCCAATATGAATACTGCCAAAGGCCTAACGTAGTCTCATTATAACTATGAGTTGGTTTTCTTAAGTTTTGTCATTTTTGGTCACATAATGATATTTTCACATGTTGTGGAATATATTTCAGTGTACATTTTTTATTAAATAAATTGTTAACAGTTTGCTTGCTGCTCAATGTCAAGACTGTTGAATCTCGAGTTGCTTGTGTCCCTCACCTCTATTGTACTGTAAAATATTATCTGTTTCTTTCAGGTTATATATGATGCATTAGTTATTTTTTAAATGACTGACTTGTTTGTATTTCATCTCTCTTAATCCAGCTCATAAAGCTTAATCTTCAACCTGACGCAAAAGGTTCTTATGTTGAAGTTCTAGAAAGGTTCGTCAATTTGGGGCCAATTGTTGACTTTTGTGTGGTTGACTTGGAGAGGCAAGGTCAAGGTCAGGTTGTAACTTGCTCTGGAGCCTACAAAGACGGTTCTCTTCGCATCGTGCGAAATGGAATTGGGATAAATGAACAGGTTTGATAATTAGGTAGATAAATATTGTGGTAATGATATTCCTTGTATAACCTATCTTCTTGGTATAATCTATGTTCAATCTCACCCATAGGCATCAGTAGAACTACAAGGAATCAAAGGGATGTGGTCATTGCGATCAGCTACTGAAGACCCATATGACACCTTCTTGGTTGTAAGCTTTATTAGTGAGACACGTATCTTGGCAATGAACCTTGAGGATGAATTGGAGGAAACTGATATTGAAGGTTTTTCTTCACAAGTCCAGACTTTGTTTTGCCATGATGCTATGTACGATCAACTTGTACAGGTATGTTTAATGGCATGCATCCCATTTTTTGGCATTCTTTTTATTGACCTTCCAAAATTTGGTTGACCTTACTTAATAAATGTCCAGTGGTTTGTTTTATGTTCAAACTGTTGTTTATGCCTGTTTTGTTGTGATTCCCCATCCTAAGCTCTTCAACCCAGTTACTACATTTTTCATTAAAAGTGAAAACAGTCAGATTAATATCTGCATCTGATTTATGCTTGCATGAATCCACCATTGTGCATCAAGTGAGATACCTTTTATGATCCTAAGTTCATGCAGTGCATTCTGCTCTGGATTACAAAAGCTAACTGAAGAGATAATACCCTCTCCCCACACCTTTTTGATAAATATAAAAAAATTGTTAATGATGCATCAACCAAAATAAACAATATGAAGTGAGAACATTGTCAAAAGTCTGCCTACTATTATTTTGTGGATGAATTTTTTCTAAGATCTGTTTGGTAAACTGCAATATTGATGTATTTATGTAAAATTATATTATTACTGCAGCTAAGTGTCCATAACAAATGAATGATGCAGGTTACTTCAAACTCAGTTAGATTGGTCAGTTCGACTTCTAGAGAGCTCCGAAATGAATGGTTAGCTCCGGCAGGGTATTCAGTCAATGTTGCCACAGCTAATGCCACCCAGGTTCATTCCCAAATTATGTTTAATAATGGTATAGTTTGGATGATTGTACTCGATCACTTTCATTGTTATGCCATGCCATGGCTACTATTTGTTCATAGAACAGTCAGTTGAATGTAATGTTTGAGAGGAAGCTGACAGTGATCTTGAGCATCGTTTTGTTTAGTACATCGGTATCATTGCAACTAGGAAGCATGTACTCTCCAGGATAGATTTTTGGTCTCTGTTGTGTACAGAGACTTATTTGAGCAGTTCAAGATAACTTTATCATTTTGTTGATTGTGGACAAACTGAGGATACTGTATTTATCCTGTACGACATGTCGACAGCATCTCAATACTCTTCAAGGATAAGAATATGATTCTAGAGTTCTTATTTCCCTCTCTCTCTCTCTCTCTCTCTCTCTCAGAGATGGTAATTGTGATGTTCCTCAATCTGTTAGTTTTCTTTATCTTTTCTAGTTACTGCTGGTAGCTTGACTAGTTCGTGTAACTCTTTAATTAAGATCCAATCATATGTTATTTTTGTTGTGTGATGTCTAAAGTGATCACCTGATTACATGGTATCAAGTTCACTCTTTGTTTTCTGTGTCAGAGTTGGAGATTGTGGGGCCTTTTTGAATGGTTACTTTCTTTTTCACGAACATAAACTTTGCTTCATTCTTGTAGAAGCTCAATATTTATCTGTTGACGCGGTCATCCTGCAAAGTCGTCATGATTTTTCTTGGTTCAGATTGGTTGAGTCTTTTTCTGCTCAGATTGTTGTACTTTTGATTTGTCAGGTTTTACTGGCTACTGGGGGTGGCCATTTGGTTTATTTGGAAATTGGTGATGGATTGTTGACTGAAATAAAACATGCTCAGTTGGAGTATGACGTCTCATGCCTGGACATAAATCCTATTGGTGATAGTCCAAACTACAGTAAATTGGCAGCAGTTGGAATGTGGACAGATAT